CTCCACATGCGCACATTTTGTGCACATCCAGTTTTGCTATTTGCAAAATGAGAGCTGAGCTGAAAAATCAAAGCTCATTCCCCTGAAAGCTGAAGGCATCTGCCCTGGAAAGCAACAACCCAGGGTCAGCAGCGTCTTGCATGGCCAAACCTTTCCTTGCAAGGGTCAACAACTGAATTTAATTGTTCATCCAATTAATGCAATCACTCATCCAGTTCCAGCCAAAATCCCTCCCTGTACCACTTACCTTAACAAGGAAAAAGGAGACTCCGTACGTCCTCAGAGACCGGGCCAGCTTCACATACTTCACCTTGGCTTCTATTTCTGTCATCTCCCCACAGTTTTTGTGTTCCTGCAAAAAAGCACCAAATTGATTAGTTTCTTATGGTGGAAAAATCTACCCAAACGAATCCAACCCTCACCTGAACAACTCTGTTTTATTCTCGGTCCAGCAACATCTTTCTCTCTTTCCAGCTCCCGTCTCATGCCATCCAAAAGCTGACCATTTCCATCCGCTAATATATAATTCCTGCCCCTTAAGCCATTTTCTTCTTACATTTTTGATACACGTACAAAAAAAGAGAGAGGCCCGGCCGAGAAGATTTCTCAGTCCTCATTCTTTGGGAAAGGAAATTATTTTTGCTCTCCTGCGTGTTAGAAAAATAACAACTCCTGCTGAATCGCTCTCCTCTGTCCAAAAGCTCTGCCAAAAACCTACAAAAGTGTGTGTGTCTTTGTCAGCCTTCATTAATCCCTATGATTCCAGTGATATTCCCAGGATGGAGTATTCGCATGTGCAATGACATTTTCGTGGTGCTAGCAGGACCGCTGTAGCCTTTTGCCGACAGCTCTTTCTAAAAAGGACTCCGTCAAATTAAACTGACACCGGGCATCTTCCGACTTGTAACAAACCAAGGCGACCAAAGTCTATGGGGGATGAAATCAGAAAATGGATATATCTAGTGCAATTTAGAGATGAAAAATTTGGAGAAATTTTTAAAAGTGGTGGGGAAGAGAACTCTGTTTTTCCCCCCATTTGGGGCAGGAACCCCCCAGAAAAATGGAAAATATATATATATTAGCACCCCTTATAGACAACAGTCACTTTGTTATTTTAGGAATGCAAAATGTGTTGAATTTGCTCAGGCATAAGATGATCATGTTTGGCCTTTTACAAGTATAATTTATCTAGGCAATAAATAAAAATGAGATTTGCTTTTTTTAAAAATTTCATTTTTGTTACAAATGAAGCAAACGGCTCTGAATAGTAAGGAACTTGTTTGATTTTGCCAATTTATGAGAAGCAGGCAACAAAATAAAATAAAACAAGTAGAATATATGCACAGGTGTGTGTGTCTGTGCACGCATCTTGAAGTTAACAGTCAACATATGGTGACCCCATGAATTTCATAGGGTTTTTCTTAGGTTAGAAATCCTCAGAGGTACCTTCCTCTGAAATATAGCCCTGATCCTTGTTAGTGGTCTTCCATCCAAGGACTAACCAGGGCTGACCCTGCTTAGCTTTGAAGATCAGATAGGAATCTTGTGCTTTTAGGGTATTTAGGTATTATATTGCTAATAATTCTGAAGCATCCAGACGTTATGGGACTACAACTCCCAGCATCCCTAGCCAGCACAGTCAATGGTGAGGAATGTTGAAAGCTGCACCCATCAACAGTTGGAGTTTCACGGGTTGTCCATCGTTGTCGGGTTGTCCATCGTTGTCTTAAACACCAAATGTTTGTGCAGTTGTGCAACTTTTTCTTACTTAGCTGTATAGCTGCACAATCCATCTTACAATCCAGCTGAAAGCCCCAACTGCCAAAGGGTTAGACAGCACTCCAGATGTTGCTGGACTACAAGACCCATTGACCCTGGTCAGCATAGCTAATGTAAGGCATGCTAAGAATTGAGTCCAAAAACATCAGGAGAGTCACACATTTTCGCTCCTCCTTTAGATCCAACTTGATGCTCCCTAGATGTTCTGCAACGCATCTCCCATCATCCCCACATCTGTGCTCTCTGCGGAGGAAAGGAGCTATAGTCTTGCCCATCTGGAGATTGCCATGTTGGAGTAGAATGCTTTTATCCCAATGCAATGAAATCCTAATCTTGACCCAAAGTCCCCCAAACCATTGCTATCTGTTGGCTGGTGAATCCATTCCAGATTTTGCTCCAATGGATCTCTCCAAGGTGCTGAAACGAACTATAAAGGGTTCAGCACCTTGGAAAGCCTTTTTAAAAGCCTGGAGTGGATTCACTTTCCCCTTGGCATCAAGAGCCACCAGTCACGCTATTCTGGAAATCTGGAAAGCCAGTACTTCACCTTTAAAAACTTTTCTATCATGCTATCCTATGACCTTCTTTACTAGCCAATGCAAATCAGCAAATACACGGAGCGCCAGGCATTCTGGTTTTGTCAAGAAGAAGAAAACTGAGCACATTGTGGTGACAAAATGGACCACAAAAAATGGCCTTTACATAACCGTCTTCCCTCCCCTTTCCCTTGCAAATGTGCTCTTTTTTGCTGCCGTAGCCGTCGAGCGTTAAAAATGTGCTCGTTTCTTGAAGAAAACGCACTGAAACGCAAAAATAAAATAAAATAAATTATGAAAGAGCTTTCCAACGACACACAAAATGGGAATTAGGAGCGCAAGTTTGCCAAAGGGGGTGGAAGGAGGAAATAAAAGCGTCTGCTTCTTTTACACTTGAGTTGGTGCTAGTTTACCACTGAAGCGAAAGCCAAAAAGATAAAATATCACGTATCTATGATAAAGCTGGGGAGAGGGGGAAGGAAGGGAAGGAAAAAAGAAATCAACCTCTTAATTACCTGAAATATCCTCTTCTCGGCCCCTCTTTGCTTGATGTATTCTTTCGGAAGAAATTCTTTTAGACTGGGAAAGCAAGACGAAAAAAACAGAGCCGCTGTTACTGGAGATGCACTTGCCGTTTCCGCATTTGGAGGCATCAGAATCCAGAGATGAGGGAGGTTCGACCCTTTAGTTGATGTGATTTCTAGTACTCTTCAATCTCCCTGGTCCCTGATTGGCTACCTGCCTCCCTCCCTTCCAGAGGCAGCCAATCAGGGCAGCCCAATTTATAAATTTTATTGGTGGGGGCATAAAATCAAGTCACCAATTAGAATCCTGCACAGCCAGATCCTATTTTTGTGCATCTCAACTTCACGCATCCCCAGGTATGCAAGCAATCCAGCTCCAATTGGCACATTTGCACTGAAAATCCACCTGTATGTTTGCATTTTGTTATCGCTTTAAAAGCAGCAGTCCATAAAGATCCAGAATTCGGTCGATTCATTAAGCGTTCATGCATGCCCTCCTTCTGTAACCAACCGATGCAGAAAACAGTTGCAAATGAAGGATGCAGACTGGGTTACGATATGCAACATACGATGTGTGTCACCAGATACTGGAGGAGATTTCCTTGATCGTTTCCAGTCCTTCTCTATGCTATGGGGAAAATGGGATTCAGAGTTCCCAAAAGTTTGGTGCCACCAATGGCAAGTCCCATCCTTTGTACTCTACACCTGCCTGACCTCATGCAACAACAAGACGGAGAACAGGGGCCATCTTTGCAAACCTTTGAGCCAGATTTGTTAAAGACAAGGCAGTCCTGGAGACAATTTGGCATTGACGGTTTCAAAAGGCTGACATCACCCTTGAAATTACACAGCAATATTGATATCCGTATAAATATGGGCTCATTGCCCTGTTGCAAGTAGTAAAGCCAATGTCCACAAAGGGGGAAGGAGAATTTGCAGTTTTATTTAGCTACAGCAAATAAGTGTCAGCGGTCTCATCACTCCAAAAATATGACACAAGGAAAAGAAAGAGACATTCATGCATATATACTTTGCTGGTGAATATTCTCAATAAACAACCACAGCTCTGTGATAAATGTGTCGGTAAAATTGGCCCTCTATATCCACGGATTCTACATCCACGGATTCTGCCCGATACGGTTTGAAAATATTCACACACAAAGATATTCCAATTTGGAACTGCATAGTTTTGCATGCTTTTATGAGCCTACTTGGGTGTTTGCAACAATCCCATATTCCTGACCCTTTCCCAAACTGGGTGACTCCTCCCTGGAGACCCATAAATAATCCAATACATCCAAAGGTTGCCCCTGGTTGTCCTCCATGTTTCAACACATCCGCTCCTTAATCTACAACAGAGCTTGGAAAAGTTTCTTTCTTTGACTACAGCACCCACAATCCCCCATCCAGTACAGTCATGGGTCATACTGTCTGGGGGATTATGGGAGATGTAAACCTCCCGTCCAAAACTGTTTCAAGTCTTGCTAGATCTTTGGGAGCTGATTCATTGATCCAATTTTTGGAACTTAAGCGGCTGGGGAATAAAGATTGAATTTTTTAAAAAAAGAAACCAATCTTCCCCCCACTCCGCCCCTTCCCCCCAAAAAAAGGAGAAGATAATATTTTGACAGAGGAAATCAGGTCATGCAGCCTTAAACCAGAAGTGGCAGCGACAAGAAGAAACCTCGGATGTCAGGTGGGAAAATAATAGGAGACGCTACGCAACCCCCGAAGGGAAATCATGTCAGTTATGCAATTGTTATACAACCAATTTGGGAGAAGGGAGGGGACGGCAAAGAGAACACAATGCACAAGCCCTTTTGCGGCATTTGGGGATTTCTGCAAGGCTTCAGCAAAAGTGTGATGGAAGCCAGAAGGAAACCAAGAGGAAACATTAAAGGGATTAAAAAAAGATTCAAAATTCAGGTCTACCCTGGTCTGGTCCATAAAAGAGCATCCAAAAGCACCTTCTCCCCACTTCATGCCTTTCTCCAAAATTCAGCATGCATCCTTGGCTTTCTTGCCATTGCCCTTGTGTAGATTTTGCCCAAGGGACCACAATCTCAGCCAGTGACAACCTTTGGCCAAAACTCTCCGGCCAAGTTCTCAAGTCCGACATTCGGACAGCATAGATTATGGGGTGGGCAACTGTGGGACGAAAACCAGCATAGCTTAGTGGTCTGAGTGTTGGACTACAACTCTGGAGACCAAGGTTCGATTCCCCTCTCAGCTATGAAACTTACTGGGTGACCTTGGGCAAGTCACTCTCTCTCAGCCTCAGGGGGAAAGGCAATGGCAAACCTCCTCTGAATAAGAGATCTTGCCAGGAAAACCACATGATATGCCTCAGGGTTGCCAAAGGTTGGAAATGATTTGGCCAGATTTCTTCTGGCTTGGCTTGGTCCTCCTCGGATGCTGAGACTTTGTGACTTGCTCCAGGTCACCAGGTGGGTTTCCATGACTGAATGGACCAGGCTGCACCATTGAAAGAGTGAATGCAATGCAGAAACCTCAAGTTTTTCACACAACTGCCTACAGTTTACTATATTTCCTAGCTGGAGTTCACATGGACCCACATTTATGAAAGGCACAACTCCTTCTGAACCCAGAGGTAGCTGGGAAATTATTATAAGAGTTGTTGTTGTGTGCCTTCAAGTCACTTCTGACTTATGGTGACTTAAGGTGAACATATCACGGGGTTTTCTGGCAAGATCGGTTCAGTCGTTTGCCATGGCCTTCCCCTGAGGCTGAGAGAGTGTGACTTGCTCAAGTTCAGCTAGCGGGTTTCATGGCTGAGCTGGGAATCGAACCCTGGTTTCTAAAGTTGCAGTCCAACACTCAAACCCCTACGCCATAAGAGTTGTAGCATCCTCAAAACTGTGGTCTCAAGACTCCTGGACAAGAACTATTTCCCAGACATCCAACATAGGTCCACAATTCAGGGATTCCCAAACTCTGGCCTTCCAGATGTTTTGGACTTCAGCTCCCAGAATTCCAGACTGTTTGCCAAACTGGCTGGGGCTTCTGGGAGTTGGAAGTCCAAAACAGCTTGAGGGTCGAAGTTTGGGAATCACTGGTCCACATTAAACCCAAAATTTGATAGGGTTTTGTGTGTGTGTGTGTGTGCAGATGGGGTGGGGGAACTTACTCTAAAAATCCAGGTTTGTGTTTGTGCTCGACATGCGGTCCGAACTGGATCTGTGCTTGGAAGCCTCCAAATTCACAGGCCTTCTCAAAGGACACAGGATGGGAACCGTTCAGGATGTCATCCCGGGCCTGTAGAGGAGAAAAGGATTGCAAAAGATGTCACCTTACATCCAAGATGCTTTCACAGGGTTGAGGAATGTATAGTTGTTGTTGTTGTTGTTGTTGTTGTGTGACCTCAAGTCTGACTTACAGGGACTCAAATGCAAACTTGTCATGGGTTTTTCTTGGGAAGATTTGTTCAGAGGAGGTTTGCCATTATTCACTCCCTCTGAGGCTGAGAGTGTGTCACTTGTCCAAGGTCACCCAGTGGGTTTCTATGGCTGAGCAGGGATTCGAACCCTGGGCTCTGGGGTCCTAATCTAGCACTCAAACCACTGTTTTGTGAAATTACACTCCATGGTCCAGATGTGTACTTTGATACCCCTTGGACTTCCAGAGGACAACATTATTTTTTTGGCCGGGGGGGCGGGC